AAAATATACAACTTATAGTGTGAAAGCTCGACAGTTGAAATTTTTTGAAGAAAATGTGAAATTTTGAGAACTTGTTCTAATCTTCCAGCTCTAAAGACCTATTTTCAAAGTTTGGGGCTTTAAAAACAAACTGTAACAGTTGTCATAAAGCCATTTACCACCCTTTTTCTTACTGGAAAAAAAATGGATGGAACAGAGTAATATGAAGCAAGTTCACAAAAGAAAAAAATCTTTGACTTTCATATTCCTGAGGGAAAATGTTGCTTTTTTTGGTTACTGTTTACTGAGCCTTAAACCACTTAAAGTTTATATCTATAACTTTTTTTTTTGAGGTGTTAATTAGCTTGAACACAGGACCATAAAACATTGGATTGGAAGTTTTATATTGTACTATAGTGATAAAAACAACAGAGAAACAAATGAAATAATATGTCCGGCGATAACATTTGCTGTTTTTAATAACTTTAGGGAATAGTTGCCATTATTTGAAAGAAAAAAAATCAATTCACTATTCTGGGGGTAGATTTAAAGAAAATGAAGTTCTATGTGGTATTTGAGCAGCTAGATCCTATTTTTACACTTTGATGGATGTTTAATGTTTTCATGTAACATGAGCCTCACTTAGGGTATACAAGTGAATCTAAAGTATTTTGGTTTTGTAAATCATTATGTTTTCACATACTAGTTAGATATATTTCTCCATCAGTGAAAACATCTCTTAATCACTTTTCTAGACAAAAGTTTTTTGTTAAATTGGATATACATAAGGATATATATAATATTTGTCTCTGGAAGTTTGTCTTCGTGTATATCAAGATATTGGTTGTCTTTCCATGTTTTAAATGTAGGATTTTATATCACATTTTATTGTTTAATAAGAAGTCATACTCTTCTTCTATTAAATAGTTTTCATCAAATATGTTCTGATTAGTAAATTTTCCCTTCTGCATTCACGGGACTCTAAAAATAAATACTGTTCCAGATGTTTTCAGTTTCTATAAAAATGTGCCTTATTTTCTTTGAAAATTACACAATAAAAATGTTCTCTTTTAGTTCTTAAGTTTTAATTTAATTTTATCTATGTGCCTAGTGTTATGCCAGGAGCTAGAGATATCGTGGTGAATAAAACAATACTCCCTGCCTTTACAATTCTCACAGTTGAGTTTCTGAGAGCTCTTACTTTTACTATCAAGGTTTGCTAGAGAACTTGTAAGACCATCTACTCTCAGTGCCTGGGTGGGAGCCAATTTTTGGCAAACTATTGGTCTTCCTGCTTACCTCTTCTTGCATGTTTTAGAGATCCACATTTTTCTCCATAGTCATTGGTATAAAGTAGTACTAATTGTTTTTAGAATCAAAAGAATTCTCATCTATACATACTTTCTTATTCTCATGTTGTTTATTTTTGTCAAAATATTTTCATCCTACTGTCTTGGTTATTGTTTTTTTTTTTTTTTTTTGGTACCAGATATTTAAGTCAGGGGCACTTAACCACTGAGCCACTTCCCCAGATCTTTTTAGTATTTCAGTCTCACTGAATTGTTTAGCACCTTGCTAAGTTGCTGAGGCTTTGAACTTGGGATCCTCCTGCCACAGCTTCCTGAGCTACTGGGTATCCTTAATTAATTTTTAAAACAATCTTTGAGTCTATCAATTTTTTTGACTATACCTTTGACTGAATTCAGAGACTGATAAGATACTCTTTTTTACATTATCCTCTTTTAAAAAAATTTCTTTTTATTTGTAAATGGACACAATACCTTTATTTATTTTGTTAATATGGTGCTGAGGATTGAACCCAATGCTAGGTAAGCCTCACATGTACTAGCCTAACCTCTATCTCTTGGATTTTTTTTCCATTATTGGAACGGTCCTATTGGCATTCAATAAAGGTAAATTGTTATATGCAAAATCACTTATCAAATATTTCAGCAATTCCGGGTCTTTGTTACCATGGAGCCAATGTTCTAGTGAGAACAATTAACAAATATATGTTGTGAGATATATTAAACGTCATGCAATCCAGCAAACTAAGTAGGTATGGCAAACTACTGTGTTTCAGATGGACAGTAGGGAAAGCTCTTTTAGATAGTGACATCTGGTTAGAGACCTCAGTGAAAGGATGAAAGTAAGTTATGCATTTGAAGGAAGACATTCCAGGAACAGGGAACAAGAGGAAAAGTCTTCCCATATAGCCTATTTGATCTGCCATATTCTGAAAGATAAAGTATTGGTCTGCAGTTTTGCCAAACTCTTGTATATTTAAGTGTGGTTTATATACTTTACATCGTATTCAATGTATATTAAGTGACATCTTGGCAGTTACCATATATCCTTTTTGCTTCAATTATGGATTTCAGACTCTTTCACTGTTAACCTTGCTTTCTACTTATATCTGCCCAATATATCCTTTGTCCTGTTTTCAAACTTTGGAATTCATTTTTGAGACCATGAGGTAACTTGAATCTGGGAGCTTCTAACTAATCACATTTATTATACTTAATGATGTGTTTGTTCTTATTTCTGTCTTAATTTCCACCCCCCTCATTTTTTTTTTTTTTTGTGGTAATAGGACTGAACCCAGGGGCTTTACCACTTAGCTGCATCCCTATCCCTTTTTAAGACAGGGTCTCAGTGACTCAGGTTGGCCTCGAACCTGTGATCCTCCTATCTCAGCCTCCTCAGTAGCTTGAAGTAGTTTGTAGGGTACATGACCGTGTCCAGTGATTTTTTTCTTACCTTAAAAAAAATATTTAACTCATTTTTACTGTATTATCTTTGATATTTTCTTAAACTCATAATTTGAAGTCCTATGCCCTGGTACTGAGAAATATAACATTACTTTAAATAATCTTCCTACTGCCATTCCCACTTTAGAAGGAATTTATAGCTTTGTAGGTTTTCACTTTGGTCCACCTTTAAGTAAAATAGAGATTAAATGTTTTCTGCTTAACAACAGCTCTTATTTTAGGGCTACTAAAATGTTCATTTTGCCACAGATTTACATTAGAAAATCTTCAGAAGGGTTTACTATTGTTAAGAATAGTAAACTAAGAACTTCCAGCTACAGAATATGGTGCTTATATTTTTAGAACCATAACTTTAGGTTTTACTAATAAACTTGAAGAACAAACAACCAATGGCCCTTTAGACATGGGTGAGTTTTAAAAAGTTTAACGACTCAATGATTATAAAACTTCAACAAACTGTACTTTTATGAGGCATTTATTCATTATTTATGCATACCTGAAAGAAACACTGCATACTTTTGTTTTCTGTTCTCCATTTCAGAATAAGGTAAGGTCTAAAATATTTATAAACCAAAACACAACTGGGTTAGAAGTGAAATATAAATGACAACTAAATCTACACCCATCTGTGCTGTAAGAGCATAGGTGATTTCAGCTCATGTTTGCATATGAAAGCAACTGGAACAAAAGCAGGTGGTAAGTCATGAGAACCCAAATCAGTTATTTTTAGCATGCCTCTTAATTTTTCTGTCCCCTGTTTTCTTGTCTTCTGTGCATGAGTCTTGAACAGGTAACCACTTGAGGGGATGTCGGCGATAGATGGGCCATGGAGGAAGTGTCAGCTAGGCCAGAACACAGAAAAATGCATAAATTATATGTATTAAAAGTTTAAAAGACTATTTTTATGTATAATGCCTGGTTCCAAAATAACGCCTATTCTAACCAAGGCAACAACTGATATTCCTGTAAAAGTTTTGAGTCACACTGTCCAGACAAGACACTATAAGGAAGCAATGTGAACACTGTGCAAAATTCTTGCTAGCTTTGACTCTTGCCTGAAGTAGCTGCCAAAGGAAGATGTACCTTTGTATGCAGCTTACACAATCAGACACTACTTGACATTCCACTTTTTCAGTGATAGGAGAAACACTGATGGGAAACATGAAAAAAAGAGTTGGTTGTGGTTCTCAGGGGCAATCAAAGCAACCCAACTCAGAAAACTTATGTTGCTCTTAACATTCAAATATCCACAAATTTCTTACCAAACAGGAAAAAGCAAATCCGGCCATAACTATATAGACAGTCCATCCGAACTGTTCAGCCACGTACCCGTAGATAAATCCAACTATCTAGAGACAAACAAAGTATATTAAATACAGTCAAGCTTGGGAGGGGGCGACTGAAAAAGATTAAATGTAAAACCAATACTTACTGCAGAAAAAAGAATAATTCCCTGAAACATCTGTTCAGCTAGCTTCTGGCCCTTATAATCCTAGAGGTAACGGAGAGGAAAAAAAGGAATTGGTTCCACCACCGAGGAGGTACACTTGGCGCCCGGAACTCACCACTTCGGCAAGGGAAACACTAAGATCAGGGGTTTAAATTTTGAGTTTCCTGGGGGAGCTTGCGCGTCCTAACGGAACACCGACAAGGGAAATCCTTTTTGAGGAAGGGAAGAGGACCCGAGAAGCACAATTCGCGAAAGAGGTTGGAGAGTAACCCCTTAGGCTGTGAGCCGCTCAGCACCGGCTTTAGCGTAGCGGGCTGGGAATCCTGTGGCAGCACCTCACCATCTGTGTGGGCAGCGAGCTCAGATGTTCCAGCATGGTTGACTCAGTAGGCGGAGAGCAGAGCGAGAGCGACGGACACTGAAGCGCAGCTTTCAGAGTCTGAGGACGTGTGTCGCCCGGAGGGCGAGCAAAGCCGCGCTGTGTGATGGCCGCGGCCCCGGAAACGGATGTGTCCGCCGAGCCGGGACAGACCGTGGCCCCGCCCCGCGGCATCGCTAGGTGACTGGTGCCTTCCAAATTGGCCCGGCGCACCGTCCGCGAGGACTGAGGCAATGGCCGGGCTGAGGCATTACGCACCCGAGAGGGGTTCGCCGTCAGTGCTGCTGAGTCCCGGGAACCGCAGCTCGGGCGCGGCAAACTGTCCACCGCGTCTCCTCGGCTTAACTGCTGCCGGAACGCTCCGGGTCTCCATGGCGACGGCCTTTTTTCGGCAAGGACCCCGGCGGCGGGGCTGTCCCACGGCGCCTGCTGAGCGTGGCGCTCTGGTGGTCAGGGCCGCTGGCCAGCTTGGGGTTGTTAGACGGCGTGGCTGCCATCGAAGTCGTGGGTCAGCGGGCAGGTGGACTTGACCCGGAGTGCAGAACACGCGGGCAGCCGGACGGCGGGCTAGGTCCCGGGGCCTGCGGTGCGGGCGCTGAGCTGGCGGGGCGGGCCGGGGCGCGGGCGTCGGCTCCTCCTCCTCCTCCTCCAGTAGGTAAGCCTCGCCTAGAGCCGCTGAGGGGCACGACTGGTCGGACCGTCTTAAAGCGGCCTGGCGGGAACCCTGGAGCTTCACACCACCTCTCCGTCACTCCTAACCGTAAGGGGCCCCTGATGACCCCTAGAATTTAGTGGAGGTAGCCGGAGCCATGTCCTCCAGAGAAAGGAAATTCCTTAGGAGTGGTACCAGGTTGTGGGCCGCCCCTCAAATAGCATGGAAAGAGCCTGCGCCCAAGGGGACCTAAATTCGGCCCACTGACCTGCTTGCGGGCTTCATCTGCCCTCGCAGACCCAAGCTGGGCCCGCCCTGTAGAGACCGACCAAGGGTTCCCGGGCTCCTCCAAGGCTGCTGGGTATTTCAAAAGCTTGGACCCTCCCCCGTCATTGAGCACACGACTGACGAAGCCCAAGCTCTTGCCTTCCTAGATCCCCAAATATGTCACGGTATACTGCCACATCATCCCAGAAATATATGACAGATGGCTTAGCAATGGGGGAAAGAGGTGGAGGACATGTGGCAGCCCAGGGAGGTGCAGATCAGCGTGGGGCCTGGGAGGTTCCATAAATGCTCAAAGTCAAATTCCAGCTCCCCAGTGAAGGGTTAAGAGAAAGTGGCTCTAGATACTCACTTTCTGCCCTTTCTTTCTGTCCTTCAGTAAATGGTCTCTTTTGACACTTTCCGAAGCTCAGAAGGAGCCAGCGCCTGTAGCCGATAGATGCAGAGAAGGGCAAGAGTTAAACAGGTCTTTTTAAGAGTTAAATAGCTCCCTCTATTTCTCAGTGTATTTGAACAATTTCTTGTTCTACGTTTAAATAGAAATATCTCTTTGCGTTGTGTCTCTTCAAGTGCCTGTTGTAGGATGGCCATATAGAGATCTTAAAGTATTTGAACTATAAAGATAAAGGAAAAAGAAATTGCCTATTAGATTCCTTTTGAGAGAGAGCTCCATTGGAATCCCATGTTTTTCCTTTGTTGGAATTTTTTTTTCATGATTTTTACCAAAAAATGCTGTTTCTTTCTTGAGCAGAGAACTATTCTTGTTCCCAGATTAGCAGGATACTTAGACATCATATACTGACTACCATTTGCCAGGCATAGTTTTTTAGGTAGCAAGGATATATCAGTAAATATTTTCATTATGGTCCCTGTTTTCATAGAGCTTACATTCTAGTCAGGAAAGACTGAATAATCAAACAAACAAGACAATTTGATAATTAAGGAGGAAGAATGGTGTGAACTTTCCTGATGGCCTCTGAAGGGATTAGTAAGGGGTGAGGCGGTCAGAAATGACTAATCTTTGATGGCCTGTACCAGAGTTTTTGTTTTTGTTTTGTTTTGTTTTTGCCATACTGGGGATTGAATCCAGGGGGCACTTTACCACTGAGCTATATCCCCAGCACTTTTTTATTTTGAGACAGGATCTCAATAAGTTGCTGAGGCTGGCCTCCAACCTGTGATTCTTCTGTCAGCCTCAGCTTCCAAGTAGCTGGAATTACAAGTGTGTGCCACATGTCCAGCTCAAAGCATTTTGAATGTAGGAACAAAAGTGTGATTTGGAGGCTGAAAAGGAGAGTATTGTGTGCAAGAATGATTCCCACTATTATGTATAATTATAATAATGTACTAATTAAAAATTTTAAGAAACAAAAAAAAGGGGTGGGGATGGAGCTAGAGACTAAATCCTTTTCAGGTGTTTAAAGTGAAGAGAGGCAGAAAAATGGGCCTGTAGGTCAACTGGGGGCTGGGGGGTGAGAAGATTGGTGTCTTTTTTTTTTTTTTTTTTTTAATAACTGGAAGATACTTGAACATAGAATGCTGAGAGGAGTGATCCACCAGAGAGGGAAAGAAGTTGATAAAACTACACCAAGAAAATAATTATAGGATAGACGATAGACAACACCAGTGGAATGGACTTTAATGGAAATGCTTAGGCTATAGTGACAGGAGAGATTGAAAAACAGGAACAGCATTGGAAGTGTGCATATAAATGCAGGTTGCTGGCAAGTAAACTGGCAAAGTATTCTTTTAAGGTTTCTTTCATATTTATGATACCTACCCTGGGATTTGTGTGGGAATAGGGGTGTTTTATTTATTTATTTATTTATAATTTATTCTAATATGACAGCAGAATGCATTTCAGTTCATATTACACATATATAGCACAATTTTTCATATCTCTGTATACAATGTAGAGTGACACCATTCGTGTCTTCATACATGTACTTAGGGTAATAATGTCCATCTTATTCCACTGCCTTTTCTACCTCCAACACCCCTCCCTCCCCCTCTCCCTCCCCTTTACCCTATCTAGAGTTTGTCTATTCCTCCCATGCTCCCCCATCATCCTCTTAGGTTGTTTTATTTTTATGACTGATTTTTGAAATTTGAAGATTTATTAATTTCTAATTGAAATTTCTAAAAGAAACATTAATTTTTGTTATAAACAATGGAATATTACTGATCAAATTGTACACAGTTGTGTACTCTTTCAAAAATATAGCTACTATTATACATCCAGATTAGAAATACAATTTTGTGAGAAGTCCTTTTAAACAAATCAAGGAAGGTTTATTACCAGGAAAAGAAATAGGGATCAGACATATTCTTATGATAACTGGCATTTTGTATATTGAAGAGTTTTAGGAGCAAGTGTTTTCTGCCATTCTGATCTATTTAAGTAATTAAATACTTTCTGAAATTGTTTTTCTTGTGTCCAGATAAYTGAAATAGCACAAGTACATGTGCCTCTCAGTCCGCATACTGAGCTCCCTTATAAGTAACTTGTTATAAAAGTTGACATGRTAACATATTGTCCTTTGTACCAGTAAGTAGCAGGGAGATTGTTTTATCCAGTCTAGGTAGAAGTTGGCTTAAAGTAGGCAGATGCTAGGTCTTTATCTGAACAGCTCCCAATCTGTCAGCTTCTGTAAGTAAGGCTTAGCCCACAATGTGATAAGAGACATAGCTTAGGGTATATAAGGTGTATTCTTTAGAGAAGATGTTCATTAATATACTTCATGTATATTGTCCTAGAAAGAAATGGGTGTGTGTGAGCATGTGTTGTTGTTCTAGATTGTTCTTTAGGAGTCTCAACTACTTTCCCCCAAATTTGTAATCTGGCCTGTGATTCCAGTTTTTAAATACTTCAATATATTTCTCCATTTTTGAAAGGCTTTGAGAAGTCAACACAGTTTACCTATGATGAAATTAATTCAGACTTTGATACTTAGAAATGTTTCAAAGTGCTTTGTAAAATAAATTGCCTTATGTAAACACAAGGTACCATATTATTGGTGAAGATGAAGTTAAAAAAGAGTTAAATGTAGAATCACAATATCCTGGATACATAAAGTCTGTCTTAATGAAACATTTCACAGAGATTGTTGTAAAAATATAATTGTTTAATAAATTTAGTTTCACCTACAATTTTGTTTCCATGGAATTATTTGTTTTGAAAAATTAAAGGTGATATGAGCTGGGAAGGACTAGCCAGGTGAGAATGACAATATTGGATACCCTTTTTTTTTTCTTTTTTAAAAATAGTTTTTAGTTGTTGATGGACCTTTATTTATTTGTATGTGGTGCTGAGAATTGAACCCATGCCTCACACAATAGGGGGCAAACCAACATATATGCCCAGAAAGAATCTCTCTCATTTTTTTGGTCC